ATCTATGTGCCTCTGCCTTCAGCTGGGCTCTGGGATGGGAGCATCCACACACAGCCAGAGGCCCCCACAGGGATGGCTCCAAAGCTTTCCAGGACATCTACAGGCTGACAGGACCTCAGTGCATGCACAAGTTGGTCTGCCGTTGAGTGCTGACTCAGAAGGATGCTTGAAGGCACATGAATATACCCCTGGAGAGGGCAGAACTACAACCAGTGAGCTCCCATGGCATCAGCTCTCAGCTGGTTTCCATTAAGACATCCACCCAACAGAGTGAGAAGCTAAATTGTGACATCTCTGCACTGCTGTCCCACAGATCAGCAGGGAAAAAGGACTCACTGTGACGTTACACCCGTGAAGATTTCTCTGCAGTAGCTTTTCTCCCAGACTCTTCAAAAGCACATCACACAGGGCAGCTGCTTTCCCCCCAGGGAACAGGCTGCAGGGGACTTAGCAGTAATACACTGGTACCCAGGCTTCATGAAGAGGGCTGTAAGCTGCTGATCCTGCAATAACACCTCAAGGATTTAGAGTCTTTAATGTTGATTGCTGAATATTTCTGTTCCCGTCTGAACCATTCCAACAGTTGTTTCAAGTGACTGTATTCATTCCCTTCCTTTTAACCATTGGAGCTTCTTGCTTGGTCTGGGAGCAGGGAAGAGGGAATGAAAAGGTCTCTTCAAATTTGCTGGAGCTGCTCTCTTAAAAGAGAGCATTGACACAGATCCTGCAGCTCCCACGTGCAGCAAGGCTCCCACTGGACCTGCAGGCACAGAGAGACTGCAGGATCCTTGTGGGCACTCCAGGAAGAGCGTGGCTGTTCTCCTCCCTGCTGGATGAGAGTATCATATCTATTCCTAGCATGGATCTACCAGGTGGTAACATTCCCCTGCCAGCATACCTTTGGTTTGGCTCACCTTGAAAGCTATGATGTTACATTATATGATGACGTCATTATATTTATTTCAGCTTTCAATGAAGATTCCTGGCGAATCTCCAAGCTGGAATATCTTCTCTTTAATGTGTCCAAGATCCAGCCAATGTGGTGCAAATTACATTTATATTACACAGCCCAGTAAATTGAACTGCTGGGAATTTTTTTCCAGGTGTTGATGTAACTAAATTAAGATTATTTCTCTAATAAAACTATGGAAGAAGAAAACCTTGTCAGTATTTACCCAAATACTACCGCTGCAATTTCTACCTGTGGTTATTTTGGTGATGACTCCACAGTGCCCTCATGCAATCTCAAGAACTCATCTTTGTGGTGGTATTTTGAAAATTATAAATGAAATCAAACAGATTTTTCAATTAAGTATGTATGTGAGGAGACAACACTTTAATGTGTAATGTTTCCCAACTGGTTTATTTTCTTCACACTATCTGAACTAATTTTGAATGAGTTAATTTGGACAAGTTACTCTGGTTGACTTTTTTGTGCTTTTATTGCCTGTGTTCCTCTTGGCACTTTCAAAGTAGCCATCATCACAACTTTGATTAAAAGCCACATGTTTTCCCCTGATAATCAGAAGTATAAAGCATTGGAGAATGATACACAGAATACTGCTCTGCACTGACAAAAACAATGGCTTGGATGCTAAATGCAATGTCATAGAGGAACCTCTCTTGAACACCAGGCCTCAGCTTCATTAGATTTTGAATAAACACGTGGTGTGAGAGAACAGATTATTCTGACAACGACTGACTACACTGGCAAAGAAGACAAAGTCCTGTGCTCCTCACAAGGAACTGCAGCACACAGGTTAAAAGACTCAGCTGAGCCTACAGCAGACACAGAAATGAATTGGCATTTCCACTATTATGCTTTAAGACACTAAAATTGCAAAATAAGAAAGTGCAGAGTATCTAAAAGCAAACTTTAAACTTTTCCCTTAATTCTTCCCTACAGTGGTCTTTGTGCAGTCTTTTGATGCCACTACAAAGATCAGCAAAGGAAAACTGGCTGTGTTATGAACTGATTTCTATTTAAAAGAGCTATAATTCAATTTTGCTATAAAAACATATTACAAAATCTAATATTAAATAGATTTGCATAGAAACATTCATCAGAAAGATATTTTATTTGTTTGGCTTGAAACTCTTCCACTACAAGCCAAACATTTCAACACTAGGGCAGGAGGACCAGAAAGTGGACCTGACCAGAAACAACAGTGAAGACTACTAGTTTACTTTTGATCTACCAGCTGACAAAATGGATGGTGAAACTTGATTTTTTTAAAACGCAAAATATTCTCATAAATTTTTTAACAGGGTGTTATTGGTTGAGAAAGCATGTACATACACGACTCTCTGATGACAATGACCCTCGGATTAATATTAAGACAGATATGGTGATAAATATTTAGGCTACATTAACAGCATACTTCTTTTACACTCACATAACAGTCACCGATACACACTCAGCTCTGCACGCATAAAAATTTTTAAATCTTGAAGGCAGCAGTCAGAGGTGGTTTCCAGATGAAGTCCCTGTTTGCCCCATTGCTGGGATCACAGGCAGATAAATCACTGGGTGAGCCCCCTCGCTAAGTAGTGGGAATATGACTTTAGCAAAGTTTGCTAATGGGGCAAAGGACCTTGTATTGTAATCCAGTGACATTTTCAACCTTCGGAGAACTTTTGTTGACATTCCCGAGTCCCTGGCTGCCATCCCAGCATGAAATAGTTTCTGTTCACATAATTCTCATGTTTACCAGTCATGAAAAACTCTTGCTTTTTTTTTTTTAAATAAACTTTTTTTTTTTTTTTTTTTTTTTTTGCAAGTGAAACTCTGTCTAAAAAAATATTGGCCCCAGGCATACAAGGTTTTGCATAAATTCATATGTGATGAATGGCTGATTTTAATGTTATTTGGGTATTTGTCAGAACCTAACAAATATACATGGTAATGGTGGTTCATAAACTTAAACATCTCAATATACCCTTTCTTCTGGAAATAAATTACGTTTGTTTGCCCTGCCTGGAGTCCTAAGGTAGCCGACATTAGGAATATTTTAAATGTGATCATCCATCCAGCATGTCTTTCAGGCGCCACGAAGATTAAATGAAAGAATCATAAGATGAAGGTCTTTAACTTTTAATCCTTTTACAATGAACCCTTAGATAGACATGGGGGCAGGGTGCCTTCTATGTGAGTAATAATGCCTCTGTTCCTCTTCACTAGGTTAATGAATACCCTAAATGTCCCAAGATCTGATTTTCTTCCCCCCTCCCAAAACTATTGAAATTAGAGCAAAGAGACGGGCGGTAAAACGCACCGAGAGACTGAGCGAGGGAATGAATATGCATTCGGAGATACCGAACCGAGCGTTAGAGAAAGCACGGCTGGCTCGTCTCACTGAAAGACCCACGGGTTTAAAATGATTACCGTAGATTCCCTCCGAGTTTTCGAGGAGAAATTAAAAAAAAAAAAAAAAAAAAAAAAAAAAAAAAAAAAAAAAAAAAAGAGCTTTTTGGCTCCAAGATAAATAAGGAAAAGGCTTTCCGCACTGTCAGGGAGCCTTTGAAGAACACGTGGAGAGTTTGTTTTCGCAGTTGGTATCTATGAGATACGAACCGTCGGCTCTCCCAGCACGTAAAAGTCAAACACGTCCCTAATTGGGCCGGGTCCCGCCGGAGCCGCGGGACAGCTGCGTGTCCGCGGAGCCCCGCGGGCCGGGCCGGGCCGGGCGGTTCCGCAGCGCCGAGGGCAGCGGGCAGCGGGCAGCGGGCGGGCTGGGGCACCCGCGGCAGCACGGGCTGCAGAGCTCGCTGTTCCGCGGCCGCGGGGCACGGTGCTCCCCGGGCTGCCTGGAGACAGGAGGCTCGAGGGAGGGGGTGCAGTCCCCGAGCCCCGCAGCCCCGGGCAGCCCGTCAGGGTGGCGATGGCCCGGCGCTGGTGGGAGCCCAAAGAGTTAACCGGGCCGGTGCGGGCGGTGTGCGGGGCTGTCACAGGATCAGGCTAATAACGTGTCTGCGCTGAAACCCCCCAAAGCCCAGGGGTCAAGTTTCAGCAGTGTCCCACCACAATGGTAGGTGTGAAAGACACGTGTCCCGTTGTAAATGAAATGTCAAGCGGTTAAAAGAAAAATCCCCGAGCAGCTGCCACCGAGCTCGCCGGGGCTGCGCGGCCGCGGGGGACAGCGCGGCGCGGAGAGGAGGGACAGAGGGACCCCCCCGCCGGCCGCCCCCAGCCCGCGGCACTCCGGCGGTGTAGGTGCCGCAGAGCTCCTCTAACAGAGTCGTGAGCAGGTTCCCACCTCCCCCTGACACCACGAAACGTCCTGCTGAGCGTGGAGAACGAGGAGGAGAGAGAAGAAAGCCCCCCCGACGGCGGCCAAACCAAAAAGCAAACAGAATCCAAACGGCTCATGTTTTAGTGGTTGACTTTAATTCTGCACTGCACTTTTACTACAAGGATATAAAGAATAAATAGCAGATACTCTTCATTTACATAGGATTAAGTCATTCGAACTGTTCTCTCTATTTACAATAACATTGTGCTCTAGGCGTTTATTCATTTTTATTTTAAATCTGAAGTCCGTAAGGAAAAAAAAAACAACTCTCACACACACGCTTTCCGAATAATGGAAAATATTATCAAAGTTTTCTTATCAAAAAAGTTTGGTTTTTATTTTTTAATCCTTTTATTAAAAAAAAAAACACCCAACAAAAAACCTACTTCGCCAAAGCGAAGCAACTTCTCTCTGGAATATAAATTAAAAAAAAAAAAAAAAAAAAAAAAAAAAAAAAAAAAAAAAAAAGAATACATTAGCAACGATCAGGGTAATAGTCTTGAAAATACAGTAGACGCTGATTATTTCACGTATAATACTGACCTTTTAATAGTATATTAAACCGGTGCCATATATACACATAATATACATTCTCCTACACGTTACAGTGCATTACAACGTTAACCAGAAAGCAAATGTCTTTTATTTCTGTTGCAGCAAAGGTCCACGTGAGTCCGCTGGAGAAGGGCGCGAAGTGAAGTGCCAGCCCTAGCAGGAGCACTTACACTCCGAAATGATGGGGTACTGGATGGGTATCCATGTGCATCTCTGCCCGCCCCGGCGCTGGCACCTCCACCTCAGGATCGTTAAATGCACGGACTTGGCAGGTTTGCAAACCATGCCTTCGGGGACTGAACAAGACCTTTTACTGTAGCAGCTGCCCACTTTGACATACCGGGGCCAAAAGCGGCTGCCGAGATCGTTCCACGTGTATAGGACCGGGCAGAAGGTCTGGGACCAAAGCCACATCTGCAGCTTCCTGCGCAGCTTCTTGCTCAGCCTGTGCTTCTTGCCCGGCTGCAGCCCGTCGTAAAACTCCAGCCCTTTGATTTCGCTGGGCATCGCTCCCGAGGGTCTCTGCCTGAGCAGCAAATCCAGCTCAGCTAGATCGTCCACTCCGAGCCGGTCCTCGGGCAAAGAAACAGCCATAAAGTTGGGGTCGAAGTGTCCGCCCATGAGGTTCCTTAGCAAGGTCTCGTTAAGATCCTTCTCCTTGGGGTCAAATATAGGATCCGGGTGCTCGATTAGATCCACCAAGGGCAAGTTGTCGCTGGGAGCCGGTCGGATGTGCAGATAGTGCTGGCAGGCGCCCTGCTGTAGCCGGAGACCCAGCAGAACCACCAAGGCGTATATAGTCACAAGGCACTGGGAATGATCCATCCTTGGGAGACCGGTGGGGGGGG